CTGAAGACAAGGTATTTGGGTCCGACCTCTTTTCTGCACCCCAGTGACAGACATGTGCAAGGGGTGGGTGGTCCAGAACAGAGTGCCCCCCCCCCCGGATGTGCAGTTTCAAAGCTGCTATAAAAGTCACGTCTCCCGGAAAACCTAACCCTTTCCCCTTATCTGTGTTTGTCACTTAGAAGGTCGTTTACTGAGTTCGTGTTGTAAAGTCCGTGCTTTGCTTCATTTTGTAATTTTTTTTAACGTTTATTTATTTTTGAGAGAGAGACAGAGCGTGAGCTGGGGAGGAGGAGAGAGAGAGGAAGACACAGAATTGGAAGCAGGCTCCAGGGTCTGAGCCATCAGCACAGAGCCCGATGCAGGGCTCAAACTCATGAACTGTGAGGTCATGACCTGAGCTGAAGTCGGATGGTTAACCAGCTGAGCCCCCCAGGCACCCCATCCTTTACTTTACTTTAGTGGCTGTTGCCTACGTGGTGGTTTTTCCCAAGAAGGATTGAAGGATTGAATTTGCTCAGAGGGGATGTCTCGGGTCTCAGCAAACGTCCACTTCCTCTGTCTCCCACGGTCAGATCTGAAGTCAAGAGCTCGCTCTCCCAGGACAGAATGATTCATCCTTTCCTTTCTTCCCCACATCCTTGAGTCAAGCTGGAAATGTCAGCCTCGGGTCGTGACACGTCTCCGGTGAAGGCAACGGAAGGGAAGGCGTTTTCCACTTGGCTTGTTTCTGATGGAAATGAACCAACCATGAAGATAGGGGGTGGGGAGAGCAGGGAGAAGTCCCCGGGTGATGCCTGGTAAACCTTTCGCTTCCGAATTCCCTTTGGGAGGAACAGACATCCACGGTGACGATTCAGGATCAAATAAATGTTCTCCCCAACAGAGACAAACACACAACCTCAGTTTTGAGCTCATGCTATTCTGTCTTCCAGCACAAGCATATTCTTGAGGTACCTGGGGGGCTCAGTTGGTTAAGCATCTGACTTCGGCTCAGGTCATGATCTCACAGTTTGTGACCTCAACCCCTGCATCAGGCTCTGCATTGACAGCTCACAGCCTGGAGCCTGCTTTGGATTCCGTGTCTCCCTCTCTCTCTGCCCCTCCCCTGCTCGTGGTCTGTCTCTCCCAAAAATTAATAAACACTAAAAAAATGTTTTTCAAAGTACAAGTGTATTCTCAGTCCTCTGAGTCTTGGGTGGAAAATATCTGGAACTGCTATGTGATTCATCTCGACATAGGATTTTGCTCGTGATACTACGTTATGCCTTAGGATATGTCCCAAATCACTATACACGCAATAGCCAGGAGAAAGTCACTGATGTCAGTCTCCATTTCTAATTATTTTTGGGCTCCACTGTCAAAAAAAAAAGTCAAATCACGGGCACGCCTGAGTGACTCAGTCCGTTTAAACATCTGACTCTTGGTTTCGGCTCAGGTCACAATCTCATGATTTCGTGAGTTCGAACCCCGCATTGGGCTCTGTGCTGACACAATAGACCTGCTTGGGATCCTCTCTCTCGCTCTCTCTCTCTGCCCGTCTCCCTTGCTCTCTCCCTGTCTCTCAAAATGAATAAATCAATTTTTAAAAAAGGTAAACATTGTTTTGAAAAACTCAAATCCTATAAAGCTATTTCTTTCGTACTTGTCTAGTGCAGGGAAATGAGACCACTGTGAATTCACAAGCTGATGAAAACCTTGGAATACGAACACCCAGTGTGAACGAAACATCCAAAATGATTTCGATCCCATTGACTGGAAACTGACAAATGAACTGCATGACCCCCTCCTGGCTGTGAGCTTCTTTAACCAGGCATAGAATTTCTATCTTGTCCATCTCTCCTACTATTTGTCATGTGCCAGGGGATAAACACACATTTGGTCAACAATTCACTGAGGGGAGGGTCTTACGAGTCCCACAGAGCAGGTAGGAAACTGAGGCAGGGTTCTGGAGTCAGGCAGCAAAGACCAGCACAGCTGAGCAGAGACCACGGATGAGGACAGGACACATGAAGTGGATGAAAACATGAAGACAGGAAAACCAGAAGAGTCTCTTGGAAGCATTTTGCCCGACACCACATCTTTCCTCTTCGTTCAAATAAGGAGTGCATCCTGGACAGGTGGAGACAGTCACCTGCCCAAGCCCACTCCTGCCATGGACCCCTCCCGGACCCTCTGGGACTCTGCATGATCCAGGGGATCCCTCCGACGCTAAGGGCCCTCGGGGGTGCTCTGGCAATATGGCCGGAGCCTGTTGTGAGTGCCCAGTGCCCATGTCAAAGAAGTGGCAACACATATTTAGCATTGTAGTGGGTTAAATGGTGGCCCCAAAACACACAGATCCAGATCCTGGCCCTGAGGAACCTGGGAATGGGTCTCACTGGGGAATATGGCCTTTGGAGATGTGAGTGAGTGAAGGATCTGAAATGAGCTCATCTGGATGAGGGGGACCCTGAATCCAATGACAGGTGTCCTTGTAAGAGACACAAGAGGAGACACAGGCACAGCAGAGAAGCCACGTGAAGGTGGAGTCAGAGATGGGAGGGATGCCACCAAAAGTCCAGAGATGCCTGGAGCCCGAGAAGCTGGAAGAGGCAGGAAGGACCCTTCCCTGGAGGCTCTGGAGGGACCACAGCCCTGCCTGGATATTACCAGCCCTGCCTGGATCTTATTTTTTTTTTCAACGTTTATTTATTTTTGGGACAGAGAGAGAGACAGAGCATGAACTGGGGAGGGGCAGAGAGAGAGGGAGACACAGAATCGGAAACAGGCTCCAGGCTCCGAGCCATCAGCCCAGAGCCCGACGCGGGGCTCGAACTCACGGACCGCGAGATCGTGACCTGGCTGAAGTCGGACGCTTAACCGACTGCACCACCCAGGCACCCCTGCCTGGATCTTATTGACCCTGCCTGGATCTCAGTGGTCCTGCCCCTCCTGGATCTCAGTGGCCCTGCCCCTCCTGGATCTCAGTGGTCCTGCACCACCTGGATCTGAGGGGCCCTGCCCTGCCTGGATCTCAGCAGCCCTGCCTGGAACTTAGCGGTCCTGCCCCTCCTGGATCTCAGCAATCCTGCCCCGCCTGGATCTGAGGGGCCCTGCGCTGCCTGGATCCGTGTTCGTACCCCACCTGGATATCAGGGGTCCTGCCCCTCCTAGATCTCAGGGGTCCTGCCCTTCCTGGATCCCAGTGGCCCTGCCCCTCTTGGATCTCAGGGGTCCTGCCCTTCCTGGATCTCACTGCCCTGCTCTGCCTGAAAGTGCAGCACATGGAATTAGGGAGCACCCATTAGATCCTGTGGAAGCTGATGCTTTGGGGGAGGAAGGACTTTTTGAAGGGGAGAAGAGAAAGCACATATATGAACCCCCCCACCCTGCACTCCTTTGAAATAGCAGCAAACACACTCATTCTAAACCTAAAGGCAAAGAAGAAGTAGACGTAATAGCAAAACATTTACGGATAATAGGGAAATCAGCTTAAATTCTCCTGAGAGGGAGCAAATCCTGTCCGCATATCCCCCTCTGGTGGCCAGGAGGACTCACTGCGGGCTTTGGGCTGTGGCACCAAAGCTGGAAAATGTGGAAAATTCATAAACAGGACACCTGCCATTGGATTTAGGGGCATCCAGGATGAGCTCATCTCAGATCCTTCACTTATTCCCATCTGCAAAAGCCATGTTCCCAAGTAAGACCCCATTCCCAGGTTCCACAGGGTCAGAATGTGGATGTGTGTTTTTTGGGGGGGCCACCATCCGACCTGACCCGTGAGAGTGGGGGAGGCTCCGGAGACCATTTGTAGACCCTCTGACTTCCGGTCAGGAATGGGACGCTCCAGTCGTGAAAGAAGCTATGTCCCTGCACAGCCACCCCTTCTCTGCACGGTCCCCACAATGACCCGCACCCTTTGTGTCTGTCTGCTCTCCCAGGTACAACACACAGAGAGTGACGACCCACATCCGTGAAATGCGTTGTCCCTCCCTTTCATAAAAAGCAGACTTTTATTTTTTAAAAAGAGTTCTACTGAATGCTAAGCCCGTCAGTTCCCGTAATCTGCATATGTGGTAAACCCCAATCTGAGAGTGATGGGTCCTGGCTCGTTAAAAGGTCAGTTACAACGTGACGCGCTCATAGGTAAACGTGCCAGTGGATAGGGGTCTCCCGAGGCCACTGTTTCCATGCACAATAATGGAAATTCAGCTGTCAGGCGAAAGTTGGGACTTGACTTCTGGTCTACCTGGGACACTCAGATAACATTTTTCATTCTTATTTTTTTTAAGTTCTTAATTAAATTTCAGTTCGTTAGCATATCCTGTAACATCAGTTTCGGGTGTACAATGTAGTGATTCAACACTCACCCACCCACCCTGCGCTGATCACAAGTGCACTCCTTAATCCCCATCACCTATTTTACCCCTCCCCCCATCCACCTCCCTCTAGTAGCCATCAGTTTGTTCTCTGTAGTTAAGAGTCTGTTTCTTGATTTCCTCTGTCTCTTTTTTTTCTGTTCATCTGTTTCATTTCTTAAATTCCACATATGACTCACTGATCTATTTCTCTTAGCATAATAGACTCTAGCTCCATCCACATAGGTGCAAATGGCAAGATTTCATTCTTTTTCATGGCCGACTAATACTCCACTGTATATATATACCACATCATCTTTATCCATTCATCCATCGATGGACATTTGGGCTCTTTCCCTACTTTGGCTATTGTCGATAGTGCTGCTATAAACATGGGGGTGCCTGTGTCCCTTCGAAACAGCACACCTGTATCCCGTGGATAAATGCCTAGTAGTGCATTTGCTGGGTCCTAGGGTAGTTCTATTTTTAGTTTTCCGAGGAACCTCCAGACTGTTTTCCAGAGTGGCTGCACCAGCTTGCATTGCAACCAACAATGCAAAAGAGATCCTCTCTCTCCGCATCCTCACCAACATCTGTTGTTGCCTGAGTTGTTAACGTGAGCCATTCTGACAGGTGTGAGGTGGTATCTCATTGTGGGTTTGATTTGTATTTCCCTGCTGATCAGTATTTTTTTCCCTTTAACTCAGCTGATATGTCAGTAGTATTCTGAAAGGTCTTGGAGATGTGTTTGTTCATGTGTTGTGTTTTATTGCCAGCATTCTTGATGCCTGGGCTTAACTTTCATTGTTGGGAAACTTCCGTGATAATAGTCAATATTCCTCAGCTACTGAGGACCTGACATGCTGGGGACCAGGAAGCGGAAAGAGAAAAAAGGTCCAGATTGTCACCCAGGAAGGTCTGGAAACACGAAGGTGAGCTTTGCCTAGATTTTCTTTTCTCAAGTGCAGGGTATTCCATTTAGGGGCCCCGAACCTGTAAACAATGTGGAGCTGGCAAATCCACACCACAGTTAATAGTCCTGCCGGTTTGAATAACGACTCTCCAGACTTGCGTTGTGATTCCTAGCAGATGTTCAGAAGCCATTAAGCGAGCTGGCTGAAAACCACAATAAATCCTTGTGAGCCACAGGGCAGAGAGACACCAGGTGTTTCCACGGCAGGAGGGACTCTTTATGCACCAGAAAACAAGAAGCCAGATGGAGTTGGCCTGTCACGGGCCCCATGTTGTCCATCCGGCAAGAGCTTCCTCTGGCCTTCGTTGCCTCAAGCATCCGATGCGGATCTGTATCTCCTCCCATGGACTGACTTCGTCCACGCCTTTCCTCCACTCGCCACCTGTCCACATTCTTCACATGCGCCCTGCCCTGCCCTGGGGTGTCTCTCTTTCCAAAACGATGTTGAAGGTCCTGTGAATGGGGCCCTATTTAGACATAGGGTGTTTGCCTACAATGGCATCAAGATGAGATCACTGGGGAGGGCCCAAGTCCAATGTGACTGGTGTCCTCACAAGAAGAGAAGAGACAGAGTTAAAGACCCACAGAGAGGAGACATCCGTGCAAACGCATGGACGTGCTGTGGACGTGCAAACACAGATAAGGTGTTGTGTCCCCAACCGAGGGCCACCAACAATGGCTGCCCAACACACGCATGTAGCGCACTCCCTCCGAGCCTCCGAGGGGAATCATGTCGTCATCTGTGCTCCCACGACATTCAGACCCTATTTCTCTGGAGCTAAATCACTTGTAGGACCAAGGAAGCCAAACCTCACGGTGGTGGTGCTCACTCCTCAACCCCAGAGAAGCGTTAGCTCTCCGTCACTGGGGCGGATGGTTGCGTCACCCAAATGCACTCTTCCTTAGTGATACACGTGGTCAGGTTCCATCATTTCTAGAATCATGTCGCCATCACGGAAACAGAAAGAACGCATCGTCTTTTTCACCCCCTGGGGGGTGTGGGCGATCCTCCCTTTAAAGCACGGTCTGTGCCTTCCACGGTTACCAATTCTTGTCTACCCCCTTGGGCAATTCCTACTTCTTTCTTTCTACCTAGGTGTGAAATTTGCATCAGGTGCAAAAATTGAAGCCTGTATCTATCACGCATCCCTCCGCAACCCTCCCCCTCCTCCCCTTGGAGATCAGTACTGCCTTGTCCTCTGTGTGCACTTACTTATTCTAGGTATTGTGTAGACATAGGACCATACCATGCACGGTCTTCTGTGTATCCTGTCTCTCACTTAATGCCACGTTGAAATGCTTCCAAGGTCTGCCATGTTGTAGCCTGTGCCACAGTGGCATTCCTTTTCCTGCGTGAGTAACATTCCACTGTAGGGATGGACCACGTTCTGCTTCTGTGCTCATCCATCCGAGAACATTTGGGTTGATTCCGCCTTTTGGCTACTGTGAATCATCCAGCTGCAACCAGGGGTGTGCTGGTTTTATTTCAATACCTATTTCTCAGTTGGGGTGGGGGATGGAGCATATCCTTAGCAGTGGAAAGGGTGAGTCATAGGGGGACCCTACGTTGTGAACATTTTAGGCACTGGCACGCTCTTTCTTGATCACCGCCTGACATTCTGGACCCCAGCTCCTGGGTCTGATCCTATTGCCATCACCCCCCAAGCCCTATGTGCCCACGTTAAGCTCGCAACCTGCTGCGTACGAAACCAACTGACCCTTTTGTGTCTTCCCCTGGCCACGGCAGACACATCTTATGCTCCCATTTCCACAGTTCACCTTGAGATGATCGTCTCCTCCAAATCTACATCATTCTCCAAATCTATATTCTGTGCTGTGTTCCTGATCTTGGCCGACGGCCCTTCCATCCCCCTGACTGCCTCCAAGTAGAGACCTGCACATCTCCCTCGTGTGCATCACTAATTTCTTCTCATGAATGACAGACTCTGCACCCAGGTCAACACAGGTGAGGCTACCACCACCTCATCACTACCTCTGTCATCTCTGCCACCAACACCTTGGATCATTCCAGTACTGCCCAAGGTGGTTCCTGTGTCCTCTGTCTTCCATGCCTGCAGAAGAGAAGCCATTCACGGGCATTTTTCTGAAAACACGTTCAAGATGCGTGTTTCCATCTTGGCCTCCCCAACGAGGTGGCTGATATGATCTTTTTCTTAATGTTTATTTATTTTTGAGATGGAGGGAGGGGAAGAGAGAGAGGGAGACACAGTATCCGAAGCAGCTCCAGGCTCTGAGCTGTCAGCACAGAGCCTGATGCGGGGCTCGAACTCATGAACCCCGAGATCAAGACTTGAGCTGAAGTCGGATGCCCAACCGACTGAGCCCCCCAGGCATCCCTATTTAATTTTAATTTAATTTAATTTAATTTAATTTAATTTAACTTCATTTAATTTTATTTTACTTCATTTTGTTATTTTATTTATTTTGTTCTACAGTCTTTTTAAAAAAAAATTTTTCTTTACATTTATTGATTTTTGAGACAGAGAGAGACAGAGTGTGACCAGGGGAGGGGCAGAGAGAGAGGGAGACACAGAATCTAAAGCAGCTCCAGGCTCTGAGCTGTCAGCACAGAGCCTGATGCGGGGCTTGAACTCATGAACCACGAGATCATGACTTGAGCTGAAGTCGGATGCCCAACCGACTGAGCCCCCCAGGCATCCCTATTTAATTTTAATTTAATTTAATTTAATTTAACTTCATTTAATTTTATTTTACTTCATTTTGTTATTTTTTATTTTATTTATTTTGTTCTACAGTCTTTTTAAAAAAATGTTTTTCTTTACATTTATTTATTTTTGAGACAGAGAGAGAGAGAGACAGAGTGTGAGCAGGGGAGGGGCAGAGAGAGAGGGAGACACAGAATCTGAAGCAGCTCCAGGCTCTGAGCTGTCAGCACAGAGCCCAATGTGGGGCTCGAACTCATGAACCACGAGATCATGACTTGAGTAGAAGTCGGATGCCCAACCGACTGAGCCCCCAGGCGCCCCTGATATGATCATCTTTATTCATGCACCTGCCTCTGGACCCTAGAACAACATGTAGTATAGGATGGGCCTTCAATACACATTTATGAGCAGGTGCAGGTATGTATATACGTCAAAGGCAAAGCAGCACACAGCATTCTGGGTAGATGCATTCTTCCTGCTTTGGGTGAGTTCACACAACAACACATAATTCCATTTCATACCAGCTCCCCACCCAGTCAGCTCCTGATTTACTCCTGGCTTCCACATGAACGTTCAAACTGCTGTCTACACGTTTTCTCTTTTCTCTAGTTAGGACGCAGATTTCTGGTCCATAGTTCCACCCTGACTTTTTTTTTTTTTTTTTTTTTTTTTGACCCTGGTGCTGTGTTATTCCGCGTTGGTGACTGAAAATTTTGAGGCTCATTTTCTTCCCGGAATTTGGAAAACCACTTTTATTTAAACTCTTGTTCCATCTATTCAGATTCATTCATTCATTCATTCATTCATTCATTCAGCAAAGTCAAGTTTTACATAGGGATCTTGGATAAGGATAGAACTGCTTTCTTTGTCCAACGTAGCTCTTTTTGCTGTGAAATCTTGCTTTGTCTCATTTGTACAAAGATATATTCCTGTTATTTTTGTCCTTTCTGTTCCCCCAAAGCCCTCCATTGTTTGATGGGAGACAGGGCAGATTATTTGCCCCCAAACACCCACGCGGTGCTTAGGACCTAATGGAGATGATTGAGGTCAGAAAACATGACAGCCGAAGGCAGAAAGAGGGCAGAGCTGACACAGCTAGGCTGTAATTGTCACGCCACAGGCTTTTGTCGTGGTCCCTGCTGTCCTGGTTGTATCCCCGGCCCTCCCCACTCCCACCGCGGTCCTCACCTCCCCCCGTGATAATGACCCACTTGCATTAGACTCCCACCGTCCTCCCTGGCACATACACACCCTTATCGGAAGCCACCCCCTACCCCTCCTGTCTCAGCAAGACACTGTTTCTCATTTGCCAGGGGACGAGACGTGGCACCATATCAGATTCTGAATCTGAGTCGCTGTGGGTCCTGGGATTGTCGCTGAGGCCGCTGTGCGTGTGCTGGGGACCAGCTGCGTGGCTTTGTGTGTGGTTCGCGTCACGGCTGTGTTCTCTCCACCAGGAGGCCAGCAGACATGGTGGCTGTGTCCACGCTTCCTACCTGCTTCTCCAGAAACTCGCGTCCTGACTATAAATCCATGCATTTTCATATCTTTCTTCACCGTGTCGTTTGCATTTTGCAGGGGAAGCAACAGGCAGTGGGGCCAGAGAGTTGAAAGATAATACAGGATGAGACAGGCTTCCAGAAAGATTTGCTGGAGATCGGCACTTGTGCTCGATTATAGCTCAGACCTCACTCCAGTGGGATCTCAAGGGCTTCTAAGCTCTGGAATGTCCACTGAAACCCCCAATCTATACGTACACACAAAGGAATGTTACTCAGTCCTGAAAATGAAGGAAACCCATTTTCATCAACAGGGAAGGACCTGGAGGGCCATATGCTAATGAGATAGGTCAGTCAGATCATGACCTGAGCTGAGGTTGGATGCTTAACCGACTGAGCCACCCAGGCGCCCCGCATGTGGAATCTTAAATCACAGGTTCCACTGTGGACATACATTTTTAGCTCATTTGGGTCAATACCAAGGAATGGGATCCCTCCACCTTGTTGTAAAGGTGTGAGCTTTCACAGACTAAGTCCATTGCCTCACACAGATGCAGAATCATTCAAGGCCGGCTGGTGGCATATTCATCAGTAATGGCGGTCATTGGCTGGGTCTTGATAGGTAAAAACATCCCCCCTAAAGAACAGGGGCAGATGGGTGGCTCAGTCAGTTGTGCTTCTGACTCTTGATTTCAGCTCAGGTCATGATCCCAGGGTCATGAGATCGAGCCCCCATCGAGCTCCATCTTGAGCTGGGATCCTGGTTAAGATTC